GGGAGTGAGCCATTAAGAATGCACCAGTGCTCTGGTGAGACAGAGGTGTGAAAATGTTGAATAAGGTGGTTCTGAAATGTTAGGGATGCCTCTAACCACACAAAAAGGCCCCCAGGAAAGGTTAGCCCTTTATAAGGCATGGGAATTTTGCCCTAGGACATGGTGGATTGTTATGCTATACACCTCTGTAATAAAGCTAAATTAGGTGGGAATTCAACAGTTTACAGGTGGATAGATTGGAGGCCATATTATTAATGGTACAACACTGATAGCCAGGGCTAAACAAGGTTATTGCGCGTAATGAGCCTGACTGCAAAGTAGAGTGGATATTTGCAGAGGTAATGAAAACTGTGCTTCCCAAATTAAGGTGTTAGTAAGCAGCAAAAGAACTCAGCTGCATCTAATTAAAAGTGCACACTGAGGCCGAGAGAGAGAACACAAGGGTAAACAAATCACAGGGAACACATTTTGGGAGAGAGAGAGAGAGAGAGAGAGAGAGAGAGAGAGAGAGAGAGAGATGGGGGGGGCAAGCGCAGCAGATAACTACGACACATCTGAGAGTCTTGATGCCATCAAAAATTTGTATGCTTGTCATGCTAACATTTGCTGTATCCCTCCGGTGAATACACCTACCCACAATAATTTGTCGTACTGTAATTTGCAAGGTGATGAGGACAGCTTCTTTGACTCATGTTCATAAAGAACAAGCACACCATGCAGTAGTTTCAACGAGTGTCAATCACAGGTCAGCATATTAAAAGGAGAGTAGGCACAGGGTAGGGTGTCACACTAGGAGTGGGGGAGACCGAGCTTCAGATCCCCACTGGGCCATGAAGCTCACCTGGTGACCTTGGGCAATCCACACACCGCCAGTGTGGTATAGTGGTTAAGAGCGATAGACTCATAATCTGGGGAACTGCGTTCGCGTCTCCGCTCCTCCACATGCAGCTGCTGGGTGACCTTGGGAAAGGACTTCTCTGAAGTCTCTCAGCCTCACTCACCTTACAGAGTGTTTGTTGTGGGGGAGGAAGGGAAAGGAGATTGTTAGCCACTTTGAGACTCCTTCGGGTAGTGATAAAGCGGGATATAAAATCCAAACTCTTCTTCTTCAACTTAATCTATCTCAGAGAGTTGTTGGGAAGATATAACAGGGAGGAGAGAAGAATGTAGTCTTTCTTGAGATCCCAGGAGGAAACATAGGATGGAAATGAAATGAAATGAATAAATAAAACAGTGCTCATTGGAGTCTAGAGCCACTGTTGGTATAGAGAGGGAACACCTTCTTCTAAAAAAATAATATACAGTAGAGAGTAGGACTATTAGGACCTGTTAGTCAGGACACTCAAATGGGTCTTCCTGTTCAGAGGCAACATGCCTATCACTAGCAGATGCAGATGGCAAGCAACATGTGCGCTGCTTGTGAGCTTCTAGGATGGGAAACCTCAGGTTTGAGAGGCATATGTGGGCTTTCAGACCTCTCCACTTGACCCCCAGGACTCTCTCCAGGCCACCCATCCACCCACCCCAGGAGCACTCTTCGTCTCCAGGCCAGATCCTTCACCAATCGTGCTTTGCAGCCTCCTTGACGGTGCATTATAATGTATTATATTGGGGAAAATTGCTTACAAAATATATGAGCATTAGGGTATATGAACAGTAAAATGCTGATGCCTTTTTTATGAGGACTTTAAAAAATTGATGTGGAAATGTGAAGAACAAAATATAAGTGCTGAACACAAAACAAAACAAAAAAAATTTTTTTTGATGGATTCGCTCATCCCCACTTGACACTCAGAAGAGAATACATTCCACAGATGACTCAGCAGTTTGAGACATGCAGGGGTTTGCGAAAAGCATTTCCTTTTTTCCCTTTTCCTTTCTCCCCCATTTGCTTCTTTGGGGACGAGGGCTTTTGTACAATCTGGTTCCAATTCTCTATTAATATTACTTTGTAACGTAGCAGAATAGGGTTGTTGAAAAATAACCAAATCCCATTTGCAATAATCCTCTTAAGGAACTCAAGCTTCACTTTGCAAAGCATTATGCCAACACAAACCCATTTTCTGCAATGGATACCGTAGCTGTAAATGCATAGCACTCCAGCTGTCCTCTTCACAGTTTGCTGAGCAGGGAACTGCTTAGTGTAGGCAGCTTCTTAGGCTGCTCAAAACGATAACTGTTTGTCATAGATGACAAGCAATTAGGATGCTGCTCATGTTGCCCACCTCCTATATTGGACAAATTCATTCACATGATCCATTGGTTGGCTTAATTTCAAATTAAGTTGACACGAAAAGTCACAACCAAGGAACTGCGCTTGCCATCAGGACCTGGCTGCTTCCACCTCCTGTGTCCTGGGAGCCATTACTAGGGAGCTGCCGACTGAAGAATTGTGAGGGAATTTCTGGACTTTTGAGTCTAGGTATAATATGGGGCAGGGGTGCTGCTCAACATTAACACCATCAGGTTTCTGGCTACCTTGGAAGCTTGTTAACTGACCAATTAGTGAGTTTTATGCTGACATAATCTTGATCTATTTTAAATTAAAATATGATGATGACGCCACCTTACCTCCCAGAGAAGCCTGGGATGGCAAAACATTCAATACTCCTCAGTGCTCTGTAAGCCAGCATTCCAGACAGCCTTAGTTGTCAGAAAGTTCTTCCTGATGATAAAACACAGAAGTGAGAAAACAAGGCATCTGTAAACATCTAAAATCATTTATTGGTAGTGCTGTGTTGCAATGATGTGTATTTAGCCTATTGTACTATTACTTTTTTGTTGCTTTTCCCTGTAAATTGCTTTGAGCACAAATCTACTTGTGGTAAATACAGTATATTAATAAATTATGAAAGCTGCTATCTACATCTAACCAAAGAACTGTAAAGCTCTGTCACCAGAGAAGAACAGTGTGTGTGGTGGAGAGATGCACTATTTTGTGACATGCTGCCCATGTTCCCTTGAGAAAGCACCAGCATACCCAAGATGCCTTTCAGGCATACTCCTATTCCATTGGAAGAAGCACAGCAATGGGGTAAGAAGTGGTATGGAGGTGCCTTGCATGCTTCTTTTGACCCATGCAGTACTACTCTCAGAATCCATCTTTTCCAAAGCATTGTGTTCTTCTACAGCCATGTGAAATAAACAAAAAATGTGTAAGAATTGCTCTTGCTAGATCACACCAAAGGCCCATTGCATGTAGCATTCCATTTCCAGTGCTAGACAGCTACCAACATGGAGGCCTCTAGATGCTGTTGAACTAAAACTCCCACCAGCCCCAGCCAGCATGACCAATGATCAGGGATTATGGGAAGTGGAGTCCAGCAACTTTAGGAGAGCAGCACATTGGCTATGACAGAGCATGCTGCTGTCCACATGGCGGGTGGCTCTTCAATTATGGGAAGCAAGCACCACACATAATTGTTTCCAGTAGTTTCCCATATTGGTGTTATAAAGTGAGAATTAGTTTTGGGCAACTTTCGTAGCCCTGCCTCCTGATAGCCTTTAATGAGAGATAGTGGAGGTTGAAACTGGGTCCTCAGAGTTATCCATAAAACATTGGATTGTTACCGAGCTTTAGCGCCTCAAGAAGGTCTTGGCAGGCTTGTCTAGAGATCTCATTGCGAGTTACCTCAGGGCAACATACTGAGTTTCTCCTTCACAATAAAATCTGAATCTAGCATTATGTCTTCTGAAATTGCAGTATATACTCCACCCATCCGGAGTCTCAGAAACTTAGTCCAGATTTGCTTGCTGCTAATTAGCTAACCTGTTGGTTAGAAGATTGGCAGATAATCTTGATGTGACACTAACCCATCTGCCATAAAAGCATTCAGTGCACCTTGTTTTACTTAGCCTTCCCTCATTAATCTTGCAAGACTTAGTGATTGTTGATGAGAGTGGAATTCCCTGATGCAATAGAGAAAGGCTTCAATATGAAATGAAGTGTTATCATATTAAGAAGGTGATAAAATGATCAGACACACTGGGGTAGTTTGACAGTAATTTAACCAATATTGTATATGTGCAAAATAATGTAAATAAATTAATATATTGGCAGGCTCAGACTACACACTTGCAATCTGCAAAAATCTGGATAAAATTAGAAGAAGAAGAAGAAGAAGAAGAAGAAGAAGAAGAAGAAGAAGAAGAAGAAGAAGAAGAAGCAGGAAGAAGAAGAAGAAGAAGAAGAAGAAGAAGAAGCAGGAAGAAGAAGAAGAAGAAGAAGAAGAAGAAGAAGCAGAAGAAGAAGAAGCAGAAGAAGCAGAAGAAGCAGAAGAAGCAGAAGAAGAAGAAGAAGAAGAAGAAGAAGAAGAAGAAGAAGAAGAAGAAGAAGAATTGATGAAGTATGTGTAAGGAAATGCAGAAGAATTTTGTTAATATACAGAACCAGAAGAGGGAATGGAGGGAACCTCAAAAGTACCTCAAAGATAAGGTTTTGTGAATGGGGACGGGGGGGGGTTGTTTTTTGTAGTTAATTGTTGAAATTAAACTGGGGGGGGGGAATTATTTACAAAGAGAGAGAGAGAAATTTAACCGATATTACGTTATGGTAGTGTAACTGATCTTTAAGCTACACTGCATCCAATTGGCAGCAACTGTTTTCCTACATAATGAGAACATTGAGAAGAATTCAGGTTCATACCTTCATTGAGTGAAATTTAAGAGATTTTGGTAGTGGAGCATAGTATTTGCATCATGATTCAAGCACCTCCTCTTAGATGCATGCAAGACTACAAAGCATCTGATGGCGTTTTCCAGCAGTGGCAGGAGTTGCAGTAATATACAGGGGCTTTGGAGAATGTAGAAAGCCTCATGTGGCCCAAGGGATTATCTACTTGAGTAACATGCATATTCCTGAATGGCTTCCATTATAGAAGGCCTTAGAGAGAGAGAGAGAGAGAAGGAGAAGAAGAAGTCGTCCCATCTTTTTCAGAAGGTTACATCACTCAGTAAGATGCCACTAAGGGTTCCTCCTAAAGGTCAAACCACAGGGAAGGGCCATAGCTCAGTGGTAGAACATCTGCTTTGCATGCAGAAGGTCACAGGTTCAATCTTTAGCATCTCCCAGTGTTACTGGTTGGACAGAGGAATGGTGAGTGGAACCAGCTGGGGAAGAAGGCTCAGAGCCCAGAAAGTGGTGGTGGGACAAGGATGAATGGTCACAAGGAGAAGAAGGAGAAAACTGGGAAGAGGAGGTGTAAGGAGCTGAAGGTGTTACAGGGCTCAGTGAATTGGGAAAGTCTATACCAGAGAGGAGTCATGAAATAGAGCCAGAAGCTGAAGCAGTTGAGTGGGAGGAGGGAGGTCTAGAGGCAGAGATGAATCCAGTTGGTCATGGGTGTCTCCCCTTCTGCTGCACCAAGCTCCCCTCCCCCCACTGACTTACAGAACCAGGAGAGGCATGAAAAGGGCAAAGGAGGTCTTAGCTGCATGCAGGCACAGTCTTCATTGGCTTGGGTTAAGCCCTGGAGAGGAGGAGACTTCGACAGCTGCGGGAAGGCAGGGATCTTCAGTCTTGTGGGAATGTTAAGGATAGTAGGAACGGATATACAGTACTGACTAAGTATTATCCTTTCTTCACTCACGCTAGTGAGTGATGTAGCAGAACAAATTCCCCTCATTATACCTGGAAGCTAGTTAGCAGATTCGTTTGAATCTCTTAGTTAAGATTATTCCTGGTGTCCCCTTTTATTCCTCCTAAAAGAATAAAGACACAAGCGTCTTTCTGAGTAAAGTAACAAAAAGTTTACTCACATTTCAGTTCACGTTTTGATCCCCGAAAGGCAGGCTTTTCTTAGTACTTACAAAAACCAAGTGTGAGTTAATCTCATATGGAGACTGAACTCATGTGCTGCTGACTGAGAGCCAGCAGACAGCAAAATTACATTAACAGAACAAAATGGCTGCATGAGAGCAGCAACAAGACAGCAAGAATCAAGACTGAGAAAATGGCTGCATGACTCGGCTCTTTTATGGAGTCAGTCAGAGCCACACCCATCTCCCAGGTCACATGCAGGTGGAGGATGCTCCAGACCAGTGGAACAGGAAGTTACACTGAGTGGATGTCCCCCTGCCCGTGCCCACTCTAGGAAAATAAGGAATGTTGCATTTGACTGCACCAATGGATTATATCCCACAAGTCTCAGCAACTGATTTCATGGAGGAAGACCCAGTGGGAGTGAGCTGCCATGCTCATTAGGCCTGAAACTCACCTACGTCTGTGAAGATCACGTTTTTTTGCCAATAAAGAGTGAAATCCAACTTTGAAATTTACTGACTGGCTCTCTGGGACAAGAGGGGTGGGAGGAATTCTGCTTGAAACCCCGGAAAGCTGATTCCTGTACAGGAATCTGTAGACAGTACAGAGTTAGATGGACACAGTGATTATGACTCAGCTTAAGGCAGCTTCCTATGCTCTCTTCTGAATCCTATTACAGCAACATCTATTAACTTTTAAGGTGCAAGAGGACAAATACGAACAGACAAGTTGAAATGAAGGCCGTTATACAAGCCCCATTCAAGCAGCGACTCCCAGGAACAGGCCATAATAGTCCATCAGTGGATCAGACTCCATTGAAGGCATTCCTTTTATTACAGCCATCATTATTTCTAATGTTATAGGATTAATATTGCAAAATTATCACCATGTAATTGCCGTATGCATGGCAATATTTGTTGGTGAAAATTTATGTGCATATGAAATGATGACAGATGTATCCATAAGTATTAAATGCAGACATCAGATCCACACTGTAGATTTAGTATAATTTACTTTCACCTACTTATGATAATATTTGGAATAATTAGTTACAACTGAGCCTAAAGGATTCAAATTGCATTTAACTAGCAAAATTTTACAAGCACTGCACACTAACTGTTATAAATGTCATAGCAATGTTTAATCACACCACCCAATGCATAAAATTCTTCAAAAAGTACTCTTAATTGGCAATGCACAAAATGCTACGTGAAGAAATAATATGAGCGGCAGACACTATGATTAAGGTTGTAGCCTTGAAATTTATGAAACTGAGAACAGGATTGTAACTGAAATGGAAATACAGTGGTGCCCCGCAAGACGAATGCTTTGCAAGACGAAAAACTCGCTAGACGAAAGGGTTTTGCGTTTTTTGAGCTGCTTCGCAAGACGAATTTCCCTATGGGCTTGCTTCGCAAGACGAAAAACGAAAACGTCTTGCAAGTTTGTTTCCTTTTTCTTAATACAGTTGCGACTTGACTTCGAGGAGCAACTCATAGAACGCGGTGTGGTAGCCTTTTTTGAGGTTTTTGAAGACTTTGGTGATTTTTGAAGCTTTTCCAAAACTTCTTTTGCAGCCATTTGGTAAGTTAAACTTTTAAAACTTTTTTGGAGGGTTTTGGATTTTGGGTTGGGGTGTTTGGAATTCAAGGACTTGGTGTTGGGGAGGGGTTTGCAAGAATCTGGAAGCTTGTGTGTGTTTTTTCTGCATTTTTATGATTTTCTGTGACCATTGGGCCACTCTGCTGTTTTAAAAAAAATATTCTGGATTTGAATTTCTGTGTGGTGGGTGGCTGGGGGAACAGTTGAGGAGGGGGTTCTTCAGCAAGAAGCAAAGAGTGGAAGAGGAACCTTCTTCGAGTTGTCCCCCAGAGTCTTAGAAAATGTACTGTACACTGTTGATTTTTAAATGTTTTTCTGTCATGTTTAGAAACTTAATTTATTGTTCCTTCAATTTTTGAAATGCTCTTTACAGTATGTGTGACTTTAAAGAGCACTTAATAAACTCTTGTTGTACCAAATTTGGCTTTGTTTGGACTTTTTTGACCATAGGAACGCATTAATAGAATTTCAATGCATTCCTATGGGATTTCGTGCTTCGTAGGACGAAAAATTCGCTAGACAAAAAAACTCGCGGAACGAATTAATTTCGTCTTGCGAGGCACCACTGTATTGCTTGCAACCCTAGCACTGCTTGACCAGATAAATCTTGACCTTGAAATTATGAGCATGACTGGGAGTGAGGATTTACAGCATTTCTTAGAAAATCCAAATAACTTCACTTTTTGTTTGTTTAGATTCTTTATTTCTTTTATTAATTACTCTAATAATATGACAAGAAAGGTCACACAAATGTAAAACCAAAGATTAAGTACATGAATCAGGCTTGCTATTCTTAGCACATAATATGGATTGCCTGGATTCTGGTTTTTATTTTTAGCACAACTTTTCTGATTCTTGTAATATGTGCATCTAGATTAATATATATTTTCTGTAATAATTAAAGACCAGAAAACACGGGTGGCGCTGTGGTCTAAACCACTGAGCTTCTTGGGCTTGCCAGTCAGAAGGTTGGCGGTTCAAATCCCCGTGATGGGGTGAGCTCCTGTGGCTCGGTTCCAGCTCCTGCCTACCTAGCAGTTCGAAAGCACACCCAAAAGTACAAGTAGATAAATAGGTACCGCTCCCACGGGAAGGTAAATGGCGTTTCCATGCGCTGCTCTGGTTTTGGTGATCCGTTGTGCCAGAAGCGGCTTAGTCATGCTGGCCACATGACACTGAAAAACTGTCTGTGGACAAATGCCGGCTCCCTCGGCCTGTAAAGCGAGATGAGTGCCACAACCCCAGAGTCATCTGCAACTGGACTTTACCTTTACCTTTTTAAGAAAGGCAGGATTCATTTAATGAGTCCTCTCAGTGCAAACCCTCAGCAAGGACCTCTGCTTGGTCAATGGGGCTTTCTCCCCCTTACCTCCCCCTAAGTCTCCCCAAATTTGCACTGAACGGGTCAAGAGAAACCCCAGAACGGCATGTAAGGAGAAGAGTGGAGTGGGTATCATTCTATCTGGCAAGCCAAAATGCTTGCAGTGGGATGATTGCCATAATAATAATAATAATAATAATAATAATAATACCCCAGCCACTCTGGGCGGCTTCCAACAAAAGATTAAAATACAATAGTCCCTCAGATATTAAAAGCTTCCTTAAAGAGGGCTGCCTTCAGGTGTCTTCTAAAAGTCTGGTAGTTGTTTTTTCCTTTCACATCTGATGGGAGGGCGTTCCACAGGGCAGGAGCCACTACGGAAAAGGCCCTCTGCCTGGTTCCCTGTAACTTTGCTTCTCACAGTGAGGGAACCGCCAGAAGGCCCTCAGCGCTGGACCTTAGTGTCCGGGCAGAACGATGGGAGTGGAGACACTCCTTCAGGTATGCATGACATTTAAGTGAAATCACATATATTTGAAACACCATTGAAGAAGCCTTCAAACACCCCATTCCATCTCTGCTCTCCCCTTTTTGTGACATTTCTGCAATGCTTTCGGCTCACTTCTGGGTACGGCGCGATGCACATGTGCATAGTCGAAGACATATTGGACATGCCGAAAATGGTCATTGCTCCCATGGCTTTCCAGAAAGTGCATCTGGGGAAAACTGAATGCAGTATGTTTAAAAATAAAATAAAATAGGTGGGCCATGGTGCAATTTCATGAACATAGAAAATGCAATCTCAGAATTAAGGCATAAACTTTATCTGTGACTCATGAGGATAAGATGCATGCGTGTGGGAAGAGACCTGTTTCATAGCGTTGTGAGCCCTCAAAAATTATGCTTGGGTCATGTGTGATGTCACAGTCAAGTCATTGCGTTTTGACAGGTAAGAAGGACAACAAAGCTGTGAACAATGCGAAACTGTTTAGCCCCAAGCAGTGTAGACTACAACTAGTCCCATCTCCAGCTCTGTAAACTAGTAGCTATGAAGAGGTAAGGCACATCTCCATCCAGCCAATTCAATGGAGCCTGGATAAGGTTCACAATGCCAATGAGAACATACACCATGCATGGATCTCCCTTCCACAACTGAAGTGCTAGTATTTTTCATACAAAATTGAACACTAACATTGCTAGGAAAACAGCAATATACTTTTGGGGACACTTTAATTGGTGGCCACAAGCATCTACTATGGTGAACAGCCTACAGAGAAATAAGAAGAGAGGGGAAGAGACAGAGAGAGAACAAATACCAGCTATATTGTTGAGTATTTCTGTTTGATCTGTTACCTCTTTTGTTGCAAATAAGTCCTAGGCTTTTTCATACCATTGGGCTTTAG